AGAGAGGATGGAGGGAATTTTAGGTCACCTTTGCTTGTGCTGTGGCCCACTAGGCTCTTTGCAGGGAAGAGTACAACTGGGAAATGCCAGGTTAAAGCTTGTGCATGTAATTGCTGGGCCTATTCTCTGAGTCCTGGGGCTCATTCCTCAGAATATGGCCAAAATTGCAGCTTGGGATACAGTCAGCTTTAAAGCAGGCTTCTATGCACTGCTTGTTTGAGAAATTAACAACTTGACATTGAAAGCCCAGTGAAGGGTGGATTGGTTTCCAGCTGTGACATTATCTACCTAAGATATTGCTAATGGGGTAATGCACAGAGACCGACCACGGTTCCTGTTTTTATCTGGAATGGCGAAATAGGATGCCAAACTGGATAGCTAAGCTGAAAATGCTAAGAGCAGATGCTTAGTCATATATTAGCACACTATGGATTATATTGCAGGAATATCAGTGCCTTAGGAAGTACCAAACAACTGGTTGATGTTTCAGCAAAAAAATCCAACCTCGAGCACTATGACTGGATTCTCCATTATGTTGCATTTGATTTAGTCTGTTATGTAGACCTGCAAAATTAACAGAAAACTTCTCACCTGGCAACACTTTATATTTGTTTCTTACAGCTGTAGATAGCAAATAGGGAGGCAGAGGGAAAACATGTTTTATTTTCCTCCATGTTTGTCAGCTTGAGAAAAATAAAAAAGTAGAGATTGAAATCGAGGACTTCAAAGTCAGAAAATATTTTTCAAAGAAAGCATATCTGTAGCCCTTACTGAATTTGCTGGGAGCAAAAAAAAAATGTGTTTTAGAATAAAGCTTAAGTTTTCAGATCTATTACTAAGCAATGAGTAGTGGTGGCATATGATAAGTCAATTTGATTTCTTGACTTCACTGAAGTGTTTTAGCACTGTGAACAGTGACTGGAACAAATGGAAAAGATGTAATCATGTATGGAAATAATTCGTACCGTCTAGAAGTGATAAAGATGAATGTGGTTTGATTTCTGATAAGGTTACTTTTCCCCATATGCTTGTAAACTTCTATTTGTAAATAATGTGTCTTCTGTGAGTTTGTACTTGCTTGTCTATATCAGAGTTTGATGGAAATGACAATACTAGTGAAGCCATTCTAGGGACGGTATTCCAGCTGTTCCAAAAGAAAATGCCTTTGCTCTCGCAGTCCTGTGGAGAGTCAAAGAAACATATTGAACAGCCGGAGCTCTATTTGCCAAGAACTTTCTGGAATTTTGAGTTCTGAACTTCTGTATGAAACTGGAGCATTGTTGTTTCTTGAGAAATACTCTCATGTAGGAAAGACATCTAATACTTGTGAATAGTCTTTGAATTGATAGCTACACAGAGGTAGCTAATATGCTGTAAACTCCCACTGGAGTATGGGCAGATGTTGCTGACACTTAAACTAGTGAAAGAAGCTCCCTGCCGTGCTTTCAAATACATGGCTATCCTGAGCTAACCTCTGCAACAAAGCCCAAACAAATTACACCTGTGCTCCTGTTCCAAACAAATGTTTGTGACCCTTCTCAACCTATTTCATCAGCTCTCACTAAAGCAGGCAGGAGATTTGTGAGTCCTTTTCACAATCTGATGGTGGACAGTCACATTCTCTCAGACATGCAATGTAATACTCAGATCATTTGATCTGGGTTCTTGGTTGTGATGTGAAAGGGGAAATGAGGCCAGACAGAGAGGACTGTTGGATGAAAAGGTCCCAATTGCTCGATCTTAGATGGTGATTTTAGTTTGTGCTAAAAATCTACTGACCTTCTCTTTGCCATTGTATTGGAAGACTACGGGGAGTAATTGCCCCAAAGCCTTTGTCACACATGAGAAAAGGATTGAGAAAAGCCAGTGTAATGAGTGACTAGAAAAACCTCTTGTAAGAATATGGGAGAAGAGGTAGTAAAATATGGGAAGAGATGCAAAACTGAATTATTACATAGTATAGAAAAATGGAGTACTTTAAATGGAAAAGGGAGGGAAAACTGCAAAACCCTCATAAAAAAACACAAAAAGTGAGATTTCAGAAAATCAACGTTCCATATTGTATAGTTTTTCCTGTCAGGTACTATGAAGAAAGTAATTAATATAACCAAGTATTGGGCATTCTTATTTTGTTTAGAATGTAATTACAGGAAGCTCAAAGAAATGGACTGTTGGAGTTAAGCTGTCAGGTCTTCAGTATTCCATCTGGGATCAACCACTGGATGTTTGGACTCCTTGTGTCCTCATCACTTCAGAAATGGAAGTGAGGAAAGCACAGCAGCTGAGTCCTCATTCAGTCAGCAAACTTAGGAATGAAGTTGCTACATTTAATACTTAAATTCTGTGTTAGTTGCAACATCTGTTGTTTTTTTTTTTGTAAGGCATTTAAAACATCCTTTCATTACTGTTTTGCAACAAAGACCAGCATGACAGCTCTGTCTCAATGCTGTGCAATACAAAGGTGATCGCAAAGACTTATTTCATTTTTAAAAACAAATTATACGTACAGATGCAACTGAATGCAGAACAACATAGTAGCTAGTCTGCTGAGTCAGTCCAGAGTTTGACCCAGACAGACAGTTTGACAGGCTTCAATTCAACTGCTCGATGAAAAGCTGAAGAGCTGGGTAGTTGTATGGTTAGATTCCCTCCTCGCTCCTTGTTGCCTCAGTCTCCCATGCCAGTTCATGAGCTGGGAGGGTTTTGTGTTCCACAATAATTTTCATCCATGTTTTTTTTGTAACTGCTCCCATTTCAGATGATCTCTGGTGACAGGTTCTGGACAATGAACTCACAACTTAACTGTGTTTTGTGGAAATATATTGCCTTTTTCTTGCTCATACACTCTGCCCAACACTTTTATATGATGAACCTCAGTTCTTGTATTAGAAGGGAAAACAGATAACTGTACCTTATGCACTTGCCCTGTGCCAGTCCAGATTTTGTAGACCTCTGTCCCCTGCCATCTTGGCCAAGCTGACAAGCCCTGTGTAACTGTTCAGCCCTTGAAAGCTCCTTCTCTTCTGCCTTGTCCCCTCGTCTTTGTAGCCTTGACCATTTACTTACAGCCACTTTTGTCTCACTCCTTCTCTGTTCTATGAGTCAAGACTATATTTTACTAGTAGTCTTTATAAATTTTTGTTGGTTTTGACTTACTCATTTAAATTAGTTAACATATATTTTGAGTCAGCTTGGTCAGTAATTATCACCCTTTTTCTATTTGGCAATCAAAAGTCAGCCTCCCTGAGGCATTCCAAATCCTCTAGGACAGTATGAGCAAGCTCATTTCTCGCAGTGCTTGCTGGCTGCCAGGTGCCTCTCTATGTAGGAGGACTGTGATAGGCAAGATAAGGGTGGTAGACAGGAGACAGGAAAGCAGAGAGTAAGGCAAAAAGGCTTTATTTGTCAAGCTCAGTGATTTTTTAATTTATTTTCCTCCCTCATGCCATACAAGTATCCTAAAAGAATATTGAGGAAGGGGTGAGAGCCAGCAGTACATTATAAAGAGGTTAAATTTGCCACATGTCTGCCTTTACTCTCTTTTGCAACATTGCTGTACCTGTTCCGGATGTTCTTTCATTTCTCAGTGTGTGGGCTGCTGTTTTCATGACACCTCCTGGCTCCACAATTCTGACTCTTCATGTGTTGCAAAAGATTGAGACAGGTGATGTACCAGTTGACCTTTTCAAGAGAGTAATTGGGAAGTATAGTGAAGGGCTGTGGTGTGGGATTTTTTTTTTTTTAACTTCTTCTTTTTTGATTTTGTTTGTTTGTTTTATGGTGTTATAACAGATGGTTTACATGGAGTTTAAAATACCCCATCAAAGCCTATTCTGCTTTCACTTTTTTCTTTTCTTTTAAGATGGCTGGTAAGAAAAAGTCAACTAAGGGTAACTAAAATATCCTAATTACGCCTTGGCAAAGTATCCCTTTTTTTACTGACTTTAATGCTACAGAAGGAGCTGGTAGAGAGCATGCAAAACTTCAGGATGGCAAAAAAGCTAATTGATATTGTTGGCACATGCAACACATTGTAGTGTAGTGAAGACTATTTGAGATCAACTTTGTGGTGACTTAAATGGCTGCACACATCGGTAAGAAGGAAATACACTTTAAGCAGGAGTTTATCCTGAAGCAGATGGATTATCCTTATCTGTTGTAGATGGGTAGCTTTAATAGCAGGTGAAGGCATAAGATGAGTGGGTTGTTGATTCTTTGATAATGAGCAGAGCCTACACTCAAGCATCCGGTGTCCTTTGTTAGGCCAGATATCTTGACATAAATACAGGAAGATCTAGGACTCACTAGAGCTACTATTTATATATGTATGATGAAAACATTCAAAACTATGAAAACTTGAAAAATTAGGTGTATTGGTATATTTGATTTGCTAATGGAGAGTTTTATGATGTTCTGCGCAGGGAGGAGAAACTTGATTTAGCTCAAAAAGGTGAAGACAGGGAAGGGTGAAAACCCATTACCAAAGCTACTTCTTCAGAAATACTATGGATACAAAATGTTGCTGCCTCTGTTTTCTGTTAACAGAAATCACATTAATGCCCTAAAAATGAGGTAATCTCTTTTATTCTTTAAAATTATTTTTTTTAGATCTATTTTTTCAGCATCTCTCTGATGTCAGTGATAGTATTTTGCATAACCCTATTGCCTGAAGCTAAGTGGAAAAGAGAGAGTTTTGGACCCATGGATCTCATAGTCTTTCAGGTAGCTCAGTAATTTGTTGAGCCTCCAGAAGAAAAACAACTGTGTCCTGAAAAGAAGTTTGAGCCAAAAAATTTTTCCTGGAAATGGCAAAAGGTAGTCTATGTAACAAATGAAACAGGAGGTGTGCAGGACAGTCTTCAGGCTCACTTTGAAAAATGAAAATCTAAGACCGTGTAGGAGTAAAAGAGGCTCAGACAACTCACCTAAGGTAATTACAGAATGTTTAGAAATGATGAAATTAAAACCATCAACATCTACTTTTCTTGTTTTGAGAACAGTGGGCCACCCTGCAGATTGAGGAAGGAGTAAAAAAGCAGAAGGCGCTGGCACTTGAAAATTTAATCTCCACTGGTAAGATCTCTGGATGAAGGGGACACAGCACTATTCATCTTGTGAAAAGGCAACTATTTAAAAATCTTACTTAGAAAGGAGTTTGATGGGCAAATAACTGTTGAAATTACAAAGCTACAGAAGGATGTTATAAGCAAGATAATCTGCAAATTTTGAGTCTTCTTGAATAAAAGGACCTAGAGACTAGTGTGGGTATAGAAAGACTGCTGATAAGCATTTGGGAAGCTGTCCCTGTTTTCATGAGTATTTTGTTCTTTCTGACTCCATCAGCTCTCTCTTTACAAGACTGAATGAGTGTTCATTGCTCTTGACTTTGCTCTGCATGGATTCTTTTTTGTTTCTTGTAACTCCTCACATGCAAAAAACCCAGGGTCTCTCAAGTGAAGGAGTTACAGCATCCCATGGATCACAGTTAAATTTTGCATTCTTGTCTAGGCATGAGGATAAAATCTGAGTAATTTTTTCCTCCAACTATTTTTCCTTTCTTCTTTGACCAGAGGGGAGTGGGTTAAGTTCTCATGGTAATCCCTTTAGTGCTATTTTTAGTCATTAGTCATGTAGACTGCTTGGTTTGTCAGCTAATAAGTTTTGGGTCTGATGATTTCCTGGATGTTGAAAGTTTGACTGAAGTGCAGCCGGAGGAAAGTTTTGTGATTCTGATAGGGGTAGTATATCGATTAAGATAAATTAAGTGTATTTTGAGTAATGCGCATTTAATGTCATCCAATACACCCCCTCCAAAAAAAACCCAAAATAAACAAACAAACAAAAACAAACAAAAAGCCCCACATAACAACCAAAAGCCAAAAAAACCAAACCAAAAAAAACAAACCAAACAAAAAAACCCCCAAAAAACCCAAAAAAAACCCCCACAAACAAACAAAAGAAAACAAAACCAGAAACGAAACCAGAAAAAAAAACCCAAAAAACAAAAGGCAAACAAGAAGGTCAAGTGTTATCTGGTATGAATCAAGACAATTTTAGTCACTTCAACCAGCCGGATAAGAATCCGGTCTCAGAGTGACCTCAGCAAACGTACTGAAACTTGTTGTGTGGTTGCCAATGGGGTGTAATTTTACAAATAGAAGAGCATGAATGTGTTTTTATTCTTCCAGCACAATGTGTCTGGAAGAACAACATGCAGTCTTACACTATGCATGTTTTGGGGGTTGGGGGAAATCTAGACACTTCCAATTCCTTGTTAGTGAGGGGACTGTTAAAGGAGAAGGGATAGGGGAAGAAAGATGACTCTGAAAAAAATACAGAGGAAGGAGTTTGTTACAGCTGGAAAAAAGTAAAACTAATCAACAACAACAAGAACAATAAGTATACAAGCACTGGCTGAATCTGAGTCAGGGCACCAGGAGGGATCTGCAAGCTTGGCAGTGCATTGTTGACATTTCTAGGTGTGTGTACATATGTTGTTTGGTAAATGACAATGAAGTAGGTGTTGTGCTCAAGATTTTATTTGCAGCTTGGTATGAATGCTTTTCTCTTTCCTCAGCAGTTTATGGGGGGTTATATGGCATAGGGTTAGAGAAGTAACTTGTGGAGTTAAATGTCAGTACATAAATGAGGCATAACAATGCAATTATGGTGCTTGAGTAGGAGGAAAGCTATTTCTAAAAAGCACGTGTATTTTACTCTCTTCGGAACCCATGTTGTTCATTTCACCGTGTGGAAGGAGGACTCATTTCCTCATGCAGGGATCATCCAGAGAGACGAAACCCCCATGGAAGAGGAGATTGCTGGCCGATGCCAAGGGTGCTTCAGCCTTGCTGATGTTATGTACTTCTCCAAGAAGGGGTGTGAGGCAGTTGCAGAAGATGAAGTCACTCGACGGTTCTCCTCTGAGGAGCTGGTGTCCTGGAACCTCCTCAGCAGAACCAATGCCAACTTGCACCGTGTCAGCTGGCAACTCACTGTTGTGTGGGTCATTGGGATCCTAATTCGGTATTGTCTCCTGCTGCCTTTTCGGTGAGCCAGATGTAATTTGCTGGGATCTGCTTTTCATGTTACTTTTCAGGGAAGTTGTGAAATAATATGGCTTTTGTCTGTTTTCCAAGATGCCATCTAAACTCAAATATCCCTAAAAGAAAAAAAAGAGGTGCCAAAGATGTAAATTTCTCATGTTCCATATGTTTGATTAGTAGTTAATTAATAGTAATTAGTAATTAATTTGTTTTTAAAATCCAGCAAAACTGTATAGGAATAAACTGGATATCTTTTTGTTGGGTAAAGTAACAGCTGTTTCAACTGAAAGGATCAGGCTCTACTTGCCTAAGAGACAGGGAGACTGTGTGCTGAACACTTGGGATTTAAAGCAAAGCCAGTGTTCATGGGGCATAGGGCTGAATGGAGGGAAAAAAAGAGACATCCACTTGGAATGTATTAAATGTTCAGCATTTTAAAATTGCCTATTAAGCAAACCCAACCTTTGTCATATTGACCAAACCACTACAAATATTCATGCGTTCTTGCAAACAACAGGAGCTTTTAAAATTCCTTATTCTTTTGACGGGTGGGCAATATACTTACAACCTAGCTGAAGTGCATGGTGGAATTTTGTACCAGTCACATAGCCAAGCACATATACCTGCCTGTAAACTTAGATATACAGCTTAAGAAGACAACATTTGTGTAGAAATGGCTTCAATATACTGGTTGGGTCAGCCATTAGTAACCAAAAGAATTTAATTTTCATCCTTTTAGAGTGGAAATACATACTGAAATTTCTGGATAAGTTTTTAAAAGTTAAATTCTGAGACCCTTTTGGCCCTGAGAAATCTCACCTGCATTAAAGAACACCAGCCACTACTTGCTGTCCTCTTTGAACACTATGGCTTCTTCACCATGTGATACTTTCAGATCAGAGCATGGTGCTTTTTGGAAGTTAGGCTCCAAACAGCACAAGATTTTGTAACCAGTGCAGGATTAATTGCGTGAAAACATGTGCTTGTATTGTCCTGTTGGCCTTTAGTGGTTTCTATTGCTATTTAGATGCTATTATGGTGGAGGGAAGCATTGTGAAATGGATCAAAGGGCCAAATAAAATGTTTTCTTGCTTACTCTTCCAGTTTCGCTTCTTAGCATTTAATTAAGATTATTTTACTTTGTAGCGTCTGCTTGTCTGTTTTCAGCATCCTGTTGCTGGTGTTGGCCAGTATGGTAGTAGGACAGTTTCCAAATGGCAGGTAGGTGTTTGCTGAGGGCTCTACTGATTTCTTTTTCATTTCTTTAAGGATTTGAACTAGTAGTTGGAACACTCTGCTTGTAGCCAGAGGATTAATGCGGACTATCATGGGATGACTTTTTCTCTACTGTAAACTTACAGAGTGCTATGAGAGAGAGTATGGCAATGGTATCTGAAAGCAGACATGCAATGTAAGCCAGATAGATACTGCTGGAAGCATGTCTTAGAGCACAAAATAGAGTATGCTCTACCTGAGTCAGAACAGGGCAATTAAATCACCTGTCCTGAGCAATTCCATATTAATACTTTGAGATTGTTGTGTCCTGTCACTGCAAGAAACTCAAATGTGATTCACCAGCTAGATACTGTTATATTATATTTATGTTAGTGAATGAGAAGAAATCTATAAAACAAAACCCTATTATCTTCTCTGCTTTGAATCTGGTAATTTAGAATAGATTACAGTAAGAGAGTGGATCAAGAATATCTCTGATACCAATGAGCTCCTTCTGTGTGGTATTGTTACTGCAGAGAATCCTCTTACTATGGGCTTTGTAGTAACAGGTATTTGGAATAATCTGGAGAGTTTACATTGGAGTGTTCTGTGGCTGACTATATAGAACTGGAAATGTATGTATGGCTTAATTTCTTTTAGAGTTAAAGGCTGGCTGAGCAACCAGGTTCAGATGATATGTGCCACACTAGGTGTCCGATGTCTGAGTGGTCTTGTTCATTTTCACAACAGGTGAGTGGTTCCAATCTGCTCTCAATGGGTTGGTATTCATTCTTACAGTACTTAATGTCTCAAGTTTCAGAGAAGGATTCTTATTCCATTACTGCATGGATACTATGATGGCATAATTTATCCAAAAAGCTGTTTGGATCATCTAGACTCTGTCAGGATGTTTGCATGCCCTATTGTGTCTTCTGTTGTGTAGTGGCAGGGTATGTGTAGGTGAAGTAGTGCTTGCATTCCTGGTTAAATAGACACTTAGACATTTTTCAGTGTTTGCCGTGAACTTGTTTTAACCACATGCAAAAATATTGCCATAAAATGTTCATCTGTCCCAGTAGCCAATTTGTTTAGTAACTAATTCTTCGTGTTCTCTCCTGAAGTAAGTTATGGGAGGTATTTTGGTAAATCTTTGTAGTGTCTTGCTTGCTTAATGGTATGCTTTATGTCATGGAGGCTTCTGAAATATCTTGTTTGTGCTTTAGAAAGAAAAGCAAAATCATGCTGCAGTACCTTTGCTTTTAGAATTTTGGTGTCCAAATATTCTTTGATACATGCCTCTGTGAATGGTAATATATGCAGCTAAAATGCATATCCAGGGAAATCTCATATTTTCAGCTAAAAGGAAACTGGTTTTGGTGAAATGCCAGAACTGCTGAAATGTGAAGGGACTCTCAAAAGTATGAGGAAAGATGACTTATCTGCTGTAATGTACTACCAGAAATTTTAACATAATATGTTGTAATACTAGTATTTTAAAATGTTTTGTGTTCTCTCACTTCCTACGCATTTGCAGATAAGCCATGGGCCTGAAATGCTTTTGTCTCTCAGTCTTGATTGTGCATGTATGCCTGCTGGATGGGTCATCTGATGGGGCCTGTAGTCTGGAGAATAAATGTTTAATAATTACCTTTATGGTTGTCATTGCAGGGAAAACAGACCACAGCAAGGAGGCATCTGTGTAGCCAACCACACATCTCCATTAGATGTCCTAATCCTGGTCAGCGATGGATGCTATTCCTTGGTATGAACAAGAGAGTTGGTAAATATCAGTAATGTTGAGATGCCTGTAGATGTGGTGTTGGGGAAGAGGATAAACTAACTGGTCGAAAGAGGGGGATTTGATAGCATTCAAACTTGCATTTTGGACTGCAAGAAAGCAGATGCAGGCAAGTGTGTGTGCATTTATGACCAAGAGAATTGGTACAATTTGTGATTAAACTTAGAAACAGATGCGTGTGTGCATTTGCGTAGTAAGAAGTTTCCTTTGGGTCTTGCAGGTTGGCCAGGCACACGGAGGGCTTCTAGGACTCATTCAAAAATCTTGCATGAGGACCGGTCAGCATGTCGTATTTGAACGTTCGGAAATGAAAGACCGTCATCTGGTGAGGAAAAAGTAAGGTAGTGTGAGCTGTTTGCTTAATTGTCTGGTCAAGTCTAGTAATTGTGAGGTTCAAGCGTAAGCTGAGGCTGCTCTTACCCTGCATTTCTCCTTGGTGGGCAGCTGTAGGTTGTCATCAGTGTAAGGTTTGGAACTGCTCTGTCAGAGAAGGTGCAGGGTGCAGCAATCATCTTTAAGGTCCCTTCCAGCCCAAATTATTCTAATAATTCTGCTCCATGTTTGATCATTTGCCACGTAACCTCTGGGAATCTCCACATTGCTACAACTGCTCTGTCTGCCACAGGCAGGACCCTATTCATTCAGTTTTGAGGCTGTGATTTGGGATGTCAGGACAGAAACCAGAGTTCTATCCGCACTTCTGCTTCCCAGATCATGGCTTGTCCTGATACATTTACTCACCAGCTCTGAGCATCAAAGCTGGTTGTATCTGCTGTTATCACAGTATAAAGGGAGAGTGATTGCAGCAAAGAAAAACCCCAAAACCAAGGTACCACCTAGCTGCTAGAAGCTGGAAGAGCACCTGGAGTAGTATCATAAAATTTTTGCCTAATGCCTATGCTGCTCTCAAGACATGCAATATTGATTCCTGGCAGAGATAACATGTTGGACTTTAAGGACATAAACAGGATTGACTCAGTATGACAAAGTATCTATGACAGTTTGTCCTTAGAAAATTGGAAAGGGTTCCCTATGCTAGATCATTCTCCTTTTTTAATTTTTTTTATTTTATGGGATCTGATATTTTGCTTTTGTTCTTTAATGGAGACTGGAGAGGAGCTGCATGCTCTTGAGTCATAGGAAAGATGGGTGTCTTGGAAAACAACAGATTTTGGTGTCAGTCATCTGCTTAGTGGTGATACATTTGTTTTTAAGCGATGCAGCTAATGTAGTAAGATAGCAGCCTGTCACTTGACTAGATGTAAAGAATCATTAGATACATGTAAAACTGATGCTATGTACCTAGAAGGCATGAAAACTAGAAATATGGAATATACTTCAGTCAGGCAAGTTTGACTGTGTTCATAGCTGCGACCTGGGAAGTTATTTTCAGAGACTTCAAGTACCACCATTTTCTGGCTTCATGATAAGTAGGTTAAAATGGCAAAATGAAACTTCATACAGTTTTGTAAAAAATGTGCTTCTGTAATTAGCAAGAGAGAGTTTCAGGCCTGTGTCTCACTATCACATGTCCCAGCTGAGGCTACTGCCTGGCGAAAGACAACAGGGCAAGGGCTTTTCTTGTCCTATGTAAGAGGTAATGGATGTTTAGATGCTTGGACAAATACAAATATGAAATATACAGTGAAATTTTATTTTCTCTCCACAGAATTAGAGAACACATTGCAGATAAGGCCAAATTACCCATTTTAATTTTCCCAGAAGGTAGGAAACAACTATATTGATTTTATTGCTCTTCTCACTTCTTGCCACTGAGTGCAGTTTATTATATCCAGTCTTTACAAGTGAGGTGTTTGTTTTTAGTTTGTAGAATTAATTAGCTCTTGTGAGATATTAAAAGTCAAGTTCTAGTATCTTACAACAGTTTTATGACAGTCTATTTGCTTTAGCATATAACATAATGGAAGAGAGTACAGGCTCTGGGATTTTGTTCCAGAACTAAAGCTTACTTTCTCCTTTGGCAACTTAAGTCTCCTTAAGACAGTTTATGATTCATTTGCTGATAGTTTTCTCAGAATGGATTAAGCTCTTCATCTGTTTTAATTCTGGCCAGGTACCTGCATTAACAACACATCAGTAATGATGTTTAAGAAGGGAAGCTTTGAGGTAGGAGGGACCATCCATCCAGTAGCAATCAAGGTAATGTAACTGCAGTTTTCCAAATGTGGAAGGATTGTTTGCAAAAGCTTCTCATGTCAGAGAAGATGTTCATGTGTAAACCTTATAAAGGGGCTTGTTTGGTGTGAATGAGGTACTGAATAAACCCTGAGAAAATGAAAACTTGATGGTTTGCAATGTTCAGTGCAGTATGGGAAATGTTTCATTGAGGATCTTTGCAACTGGTTAGGAGCGACCTGAAAAGTACAGTGGCCCTTGCCTTGTTGTGTGTTCAGTTCTGCTTGCTCATTCTGTCCTAGGGCTCCTGGCTTTTGTGAGCTCTGAGGATAAAGGCACTTTGCTTAGCACTTCCAAGTCTTTCTGAGTAGCTTTAGCCAAGTTGCCCTAGATCTAGATATGTTAGTTACTTTTTCTGGAACTCTAGCATTGCCTAATCTTAAGGAAATCATTAAAAGTGGTGTGAACATTTTTCATTAAACCTTCATAGTCAGCATATCTGTAGATGACAAGTCTTTACATTTCGAGTAAATCTCTTGTTACAGTCGTGTTTCAATGGGTCTGTCACAGTTTGAGGTCCTGCATGGCTTGTAAATGAAAAATGTTAGAAACTTATAATAAATGTTGGAGCTTTACTTTGAATTAACTGATGCTTTTAGGAGGTGTGAGTAGATTTACCCCTTTTTAATAAAGGGGTAAGTGACTTTGTGGCTGAAAAAAAAGCAGCTTATGTGATTTAAACTAAGGTAGCAGATCATGCCCTTGTGCTTATTCTTCTCGTCTTCTAGTATGACCCCCGCTTTGGAGACGCCTTCTGGAACAGCACAAAGCATTCTATGATGACCTATACTTTCAATCTGTTGACCAGCTGGGCTATTGTCTGTAACGTATGGTACCTGCCACCGATGGTCCAAGAAGTACTTATGCTTTTCTAAGTTTTGAAAATGCTTTTAAAATGTTGTCTGTGTTACTATGCATAGTGTTTGTGAATTTTTATTGATAACTTAATGGACTAAGACCAGAAAGCAACACTACAGTCTTAAAATTGAGCATGGATTCATGTGGGTTAGTTATCTTCAAATAAAAACTAACCTTGAAGATATTCAGACGTTCCTCCACCGTGCTCCCTATTGCTGCTAAAACCTTTACTTGGGTGCAGGTGCAGTTGCTTTCTTCTGATCCTTGAGACTAGAAGAGACATAGGTTTATGCTGCAGGAGTCCTGCCCCTCAGTCTGGCATAGACCTCCCGTTTTTACTCTAGAAGGGATACATAGATTCAGGCCTTCTCTTCACTCCATACAGGGTTACTTCTGCCTTCTGTGTCCTTCCCGCTACCAGCATCTTCCCAACACCCTGCTCTCTGTAACAGCTTCCTCCCACCACCTTGTTTCTCAGCCCTGCAGCATATCCAGCTAATCCTTTGCCCACCAGCTTTACCCCACAACTTGGCAGAGCCTCCCAGCCCACTGCCCTATATACCACCCTGACACTGACAAAGTGCTCAAGGCTTTTTCTCTAGCAAAGCCCTAGTTTGGTATTGCCTACCATGGTCTTTGCTCAGCCCTAATTTTGGCAGGGAAGCTGCTGTAATGCATGTATCTTCAGTCCTCTGAAGTTTGGACAGAGTCCTGTGAGCTCACAAAAATTTGAATGCACCAGGTCCAACCCTGTTCAAGAACCCCGTCTCCTGCAAGGGTGATCCTGTCAGTGTGTTCCCAGCTTCAGACTCATGCTGAAGTACTGGGAGCAGACACATCCCCTGGTCTGGCCAGACCTGTGACCTCATACTGTGTGTTGTTTGAGATTGCCACAGAAACCAGAGAGCCTCCCACTTAGTTCTTTTTGGCACTGACTGGTGGCAAACTGGGCAGCGTTCCCCAGGATCAGCTGGAACTGCCCTGCAAGTCACATCTGGCTTGTGGGTCTGGAAGTGCCTGCTGCCTGACAAAATGTCTTAAAGTGAGGCACAGAAAAAATGTTTATGTTGTAAAGCAAATAATTACTATATTTTTCAGGAAGAAGAAGATGCTGTTCACTTTGCCAACAGAGTCAAGGCTGCCATTGCTGCTCGGGGAGGAATGTCTGTGCTTCCTTGGTAAGAAGCAACACCTCTGAGATTGGGTTTAAAGCATTTTAAGGTGTTCTGTATTCTGAAACATTAGCCTGGAATCTTTTAAAACTTCTTCCAGATTTGCTTTGCTTGCACTGTAGTCCATCACCCTTACTGACTCTAGAAAATATTCCTTGAACAATTCCATTAGAATAAATAGAATAATATAGTATATATAGAGAAGTAGAGCTGACAGGTAGATCTAGCCAGCAGGCAGGGTTAGGTGAAAATGAATTATTTGACTGTTAAATGCTGGGTTAAGAAAGGGCATTGTTGTGTGGTAAGACTTGGCAGTACAGATCATTTAACATTGTTGTACAAAATCCAACATTAAAGAGTGGAAACTACGCGGTCTAAATATTGCAATGTTTTTCTGCCTTGACCCTGAAGTGAGCTCAAGGCTCTTTCTTTTCTGTATCTTTCAGGGATGGGGGACTAAAAAGGAAAAAGGTGAAAGAGTCTTTCAAGGAAGAGCAACAGAAAAAATATTGCCAGATAGTAATAGAAAATGGATCTGTGGGAAACGGAAATGCTTGTTAAACGGTATTTATTTTATCTCATTTTTCCATGACTTATCTCTACCAGAAAATAGACTGGTTTTTATAGGAAACCAAACATGTTTTCCTTCTGTCTCTGTAAGATATTTTGCATATGACACAGCAGGGAAACCATAAAGAGATATCCTTATTTAATGTAAAAGACTCTAATTTTATAAATAGGAAAATATACAACTACTAGTAAAATTCTCTCCGATGTTGAGTGAGAAAAATTGGCAATAAAATTACTTAGGCTTATTAAAACACCATTTAAAAACATTTGCAATACCTTGAGGACTTAAATGGTTACCTGTTAGCTTCTAACAAAACAACTCTGTAGTCCTAGCCTGCTGTCTCAGTGACTTGGACTAGCAGTGTTTCTGTCGGCCACAGTAACCATGTTGCTGTGGAGAGCTCCTCACATCAGGAGACGTTAGGCAGTTCACCAAAACATGTTTTCCAAACTGTATGTTGGAGAGGAAGTGTTGAATGTCAGAGGGGGAAAAAAAACACGTGCTGACTTTCCTCTCCGTGTCACAAGACCAGGGACAGCAATGTAGAAAGTTTTCTATTCTGACAAAGAGCACAACAGTGTCCAGGGCAGCATGCCCCTGATGCCTGGGTGTGTGATGCTGAGGTAAATTAGTCGCAGCCAAGGACAGTGTCAAAGAAAATATACTGTGGTTTTAAATTACATTTTATCTTCTAGTTTTGTTGTGTCCCTTTCTGTGTCTCTTTGTATGTATTACCCAAATTAAAGAAAACATTTGATGAGACATTCATTGTCCTCTGTTATCATTATTTCTGGAGAGCCACCTGCTTATGTTACCACTCGATATGAAGGCTAAGGATTTGCTCTCTGACAAGCCCACCCTCCAGAAATAAATAGAACAACTGCACATAGGAAGTATGAGATGGAAATATTTCCATCACTTACAGTATTTACTGGTATAAAATATTTGCTCTCCTGGTAAGTAGCTCCCATATGGAAGGATCTGGCTTCTTAAATGATCTGAATAGCCCTAATGAAACACACACAAATAGGTGCTCTGTGACAGAGATGTTGGTAAGGACAGTTAATAAGGTTTACATGAGAGCCCATTGATGAAGAGATGAAGGATCTGTTGTGGTGATCACAAACACACCCTGTAGAGGCACAGATGCACAGATACAGCTCTGCCCAGCCCTGGAGAGTCTAGAAAACTAATATTCAGAGGAGGGGCTAACAGAGGTGATAACTGCCCTGAGGCTGCATGGCACAGAAGTGTCATGGAACTGAGCTCTCCTCTTCTGGGGCCAGGCTGGGCTTTGTTACAGGTATGTGAATCCTTTTGGTGGATCAGTCAGTCCAAATTTTGGTGTCATAGGTAAGCAGTAGAAGAAACTGCTCTTCTACAAAGCTTTTAGCCACTCAGGTAGGGAGAGTGCTAGCAGTAGGTCTACAAAGGAGAATTGCCTCAGGCTCTCCTGCTGTGAAAGAGGGCTGTTGGCTGAGTGTAGTAAGCTGTGCTTCCATGGCTGCTGAAGCTGATGATTTATTTTCTAGGTGTAAAAATGTGAAGAAATGTGGTAGACAATCCTGATAACTGTTAAATCTCTTCAATGTGCCAGTTTAAAATTGAGAGATTTTCTTTCTGTGTGACTGCTGTCTGATAGTCACTAACAGAGGCTATCTGTTAGTGACTATCAGACAAGTCACTAACAAGTCACACAAGACAAGTGTGGGGAGCATCCTTCCCACACTTCTATGGGCTTTCTTCCTGCTCAGAGGTAAAAGGAGAAACTGAGTAAGCAAAAAAAAAAAGGGGGCAGAGACAGGAAATATGGGGAGATAAGACTGTTCGAAGAGACATATTCTAATCTGGGCTCTGCTTCTGTAAGAAATTAGGAGATGATGTACCTTTTTCCTCAGCCTGCTACACTTCCCCAGCTAAAAAAGAGAAGAGGAGCCTTTGAACCTGTGATCATATCTATGACTCCAAGTCTTGTAAAAGTATAGCTCAGACCCCTGAAGGTATGAGTATTACATGTCATCTGTGGGAGGATGGTGGGATTGTCAGTATTTCCTCTGCCATTTTTTGGCTGTCTTGACAAAAGAAGCTGAAAACTCTGTGAAGTAGGTACATACATATAGAATAGGGAAATGTAAAGCAAGTGATGAACACAAGAACTTCTTAATGACGAGTGAAGTGTGCTTTGTTAGCTGCTAAAAAATACCAGCCTAACTTGAAACAGAGACTATTTTGTCTTGTCCTGCTTTAAAGAAATGTTTGTGGTTTTTAGTGATGCTTTCTTTACCTACCTTCCACCTCCTCCATTCTTTTGAAATGCAAATGAAATACAGAATATATCAGCAGTGGCCTTGGCAATTACTTTTACCTGAAATTGTATACTGCCCTTAGAGTGATAAGGTTATAGAGGAATTGATTACCATCCAAAAGGACACCACAGATAAGTGTGTCTTACACCTCCAGCAGGAGGGCATGGTAACAGTAAAATCATACCCTCTTGCTATGTGAGTGAGTCAGAGACAGAGTTGAACATAGCTGCTGTTTCTAACTTTCAGAGACATCACTGTTTGATCACCTGTGCGGATGGAAAACCAGATATATTCAAAAAAACTCCTCCTTTAGGTCCTTAATAAAACTGCAGCATGGTCAAGGCACAGTGCAGAATCTTTGTACACAGTGTGGGTTCTGGGGTGGCTCCGGACCTTAAGTAACTTGGGTGCTATCCTGTTTCAGGCTGGAGCTGTGTTCCCTATATTTAGAGTCCTGAAGCCTTGAACAAGTAAGGGCACCCTACAAAATCCCATAAAGGCTGGGTCACTGCGTGTAACATGCCTCTCCTTCCTTAGGCAGGCTTCCAAAATCACAGCTTGAGAAGGAGTCCTCTGAAAACATGTTTTTGAATGTTTGCATTGCTATTACCTAATTTTTCCTCAGTTGGGAGTAGAACTTGTAAAGGTGAGTTATGTTTTGACCCCTTTAAACTAAATCTGCAGACTGAAATAGCTTCAACATCTGTCTCATTTCTGGCTTTTCATCTGTGGATTAAGAAGAGATTATTTGGATGTTACCCCTATTCATGTTTAAAGTATATTGTGCTGCTCTGCTGCAAGGGTAAAGTAACCTGAAACAGATTGTAATTATTCACTGTTAAGCAGTGTAAGGTGAATTTCTGTGTAAATGACCACCATTGCCTTAATGTATTTGAGCCTGTTTTTCAGGAAGGTTCTCTAAATTTCCTGTGCCTACAGGAGCGTATTTGACTCAAATACAATATTTATTTACAAATAAATATTTTTTTCTGTCTATACACACACAGAGTATGTATATAAAGGGATGACCAAGTGCCTTCTATCTATTAGGAGCACAGTGTGGACATGAGTTACTTATAACAATAGAAATGTTGTGGATTATTAGAAGATGTAGTGTCAAGCAACTTGATGACCTCTTGTACTGTGACAACTGAACAGAAGTTGGCTAAAACGTGTGATAATCTTTCACTGTAACGTACTTGCATGTTAACAACGATTGATGTAGCTCAGGTCCTTAATTCCCTTGGATCCAAATGTGTTTTTCTAAAGCTGTGTCTTACCTTTGGGAACGTCTGAAATGCCCATCTCTCCGACTTCTGCTGACCGGCTCTGCGTTACTGGGAAGCTCCTTTTCCCGGCTCAAGGTACGTTCCCGTGACTGCACCACGAGCATTAGAAGAAATGGGCAACGGGGGCCATCTGGTGGCGTCCACTCAAGTAGTAGCAAACTCCGCCTTGCACAACCGGCTCGCCCTAAATGCCGATAAACGAGCCTGTTATTTCTCCTGCATTTCCAGGAAACCATGAAAACATAGAAATAATGCTGTGTACCCCCAGCACGGGATCTTTGATTACTAGTCGTGGTTTAATACCAGCAAAGCTTGTGCTTGTTCGAAGTTTCAGCAGCCTGTGTTGTGTGGGGTTTCCCCAGGTCATCTCTACCCTGTGACAAACCAAAGTCAGAACTACTTCTGTCCTTCAGTTCATTCAAAATCAGGTGTGAGTCTAACCCCTGGGCTTTTATTTGTATTTTAAAACTCAGTAGAGGCAACAAACCTGAAGGCAGTAGGACATTTGGATTTGCCGTGATGAGTTTCTTCTGTACCTTGATGCAGTTTGCTCCTGATCTGAGACTGATGATACTTTCAGAAGAAAACAAGTTTTCAGGATAATAAGGGAGATGTTCCGAACTTGTTTCCTACCAGCATGCATTTCCTTGAGCTGTAGTGAGAACAGTGAACCGTTAGTGCCAAATTTAACAAGCCTGCATTTCACTGAAACTCTTTCATGTGCAGCTTGCCATGAACGAAACAAGGAAAGCAGCCTGGGCGGCTCCTCCCCTGGTGTTTGGTTTTAGCCTCAAGGAACACATTTTGGTTACGCGTGCAGTCTGAGGCCTGATTTCAAGTAGGCCAATGGATTTAGGTCACAGATATATTATGGGTGAGACCTCTGGGCTTTCTATCCTCTCTGTGGGATTTGGTTTTGGAAACGCTTGTGCTGAAGTGTTGTTCAGGCTCTTTTGAGCTTGGTTCCCAGCTGTGGCGCAGATCGTGGAGATGACCTGCGAGGGGTTCACAGGTTCATTTGGTTTTGGAAATGTAGGCTTAGAAGTTAGTGGACATACAGTAGAGACAGAGGCCTTCCTGGCTCTTTGTCTTTTTATTGTTTTTGTTGTACACACAAGGAAGGACCCTAGCTTTGTAGCCATTTCTCCTCTCCCCTCTTCCTCTATTTATTATTCTGTTTAACGATGGCTCCTCAATTAGTGTACCAGACTCCTCTGTGAGCAGAGTTCATCGTGATCAATTGTCATCAAGGCCAGCGTTTGGTACATTCAATCAATGATGTTCTATATAATGGCAGTGCTATTGACCGATTTCTAATTTTACAGTATGTTGAGCCCTGTTGAACTCTTTTAATATGATAATTGCTTTACTAATCAGTAGTCATGATTTGTGTGCAACAGCAGATTATTGACATCAGTTGATATCCCTTGGTATTTCTATTTGGCTCTACGAAAGATGCATGTGGTGAAAGGTGATTAATATCTAAACTGTGGATATTAAATAGAGTAATTCTGGGGAAAATACTATATTCTTGCATATCAAAATTTTAAGAAGTAGGTTATTAAATAATTTTGAAAGGTTTATTTCTTCTTTTTATAAGGGATAGTTATTAATAAGTACTTTTAAGTTTATACAGACAGCTGTTAAACGGCCTATTTTATAACTATGTGATAAGCACTCATTAGTTCATATGTTCAATCCTGTGTTTATTAATTATATAATAGGGATTTTTTTAAAAAATTGCTCATCATATATGGCTATGAGCAGTCAACTCATTTAATTTACAACTTCACATAAGATCTAAGTATGTACACACATTCAATAAAATAATCTGTATGTTATACTTCAAATAACCACTCAATCTTGCATTTTATTAATGTAATTTTCTAAAATACACTTACAAGTTATTATAAGGAGGGATATCTATATAAAAATTCCATTTCTGTTAGAAAACTGAGGCTGATTTCTATCCAGATGTTGTCTTAAACATTTGGGTCTGCAAGTTATTCTTT